AAACCAGAAAAAATGGATAATTTCTGAGAAACCTACAACCTACCAAAATAGAATCATGAGGAAATAGAAAATCTGAATAGACCAATTACTAGTAATGAGACTGAATCAGTAATCAAAAACTTCCCAACAAACAAAAGTCCAGGATTAGACAGTTTTACTGGAGGATTCTGCCATTTAAAAAAGAATACAAATTCTTATCAAACTACTCCAAAAAAATTTGCAGAACATTTCCAAATTCATTTTACAAGGGCAACATTTTGATAAAGACAAGGATATCACAAGAAAATTAGAAGTCAATATCTCTGGTGAACATAAATATTAAACTCCTCAACAAAGTATTAGTAAACCAAATTAAATAATACTTTAATAGGATTATGTACCATTATCAAGGGGCATTTATTCCAGGGATGCAAGGGTGGTTCAACAGACACAAATTAATCAATGCAATATACCACTTTAACAAAATGAAGGTTAAAAATCATATCATTTGAATAGATGCAGAAAAAATGTATCTGGCAAAATTCAACATCTGTCTAAGATTAAAAACCCTAAACAGGGACACCTGGGTGGCTCAGTGGTTGAGCATCTGCCTTCAGCTCAGGGCGTGATCCCGGGTGCTGGGATCAAGTCCCACATCAGGCTCCCCTCAGCGAGCCTGCTTCTCCCTTTGTCTGTGTCTCCACCTCTCTCTTTGTGTCTCTCATGAATAAATAAGTAAAATCTTTAAAAAAAAAAAAAAGATACCTCAGCATAATAAAGGTCACAAAGAACAAGCTATGACATCATCCACAATGGTAAAAGCTTTTCCTCTGAGATCAGGAATGAGACAAAGGTGCTCACTCTCACCACTCATATTCATTATACTACTGGAAGTCCTAGCCAGAGCATGCAGGCAAGAAATACAAAAAGCATCCATATTAGAAAGGAAAAAAGTCAAATTGTCTTTGCAGATGCTATACTTTTATATCTAGAAAGTCTTAAAGACTCCACCAAAAACCTGTTAGAAATAATCAATGAATCCAGAAAAGTTACAGGATACAAAATCAACACAAACAGTTCCATTCTATACACTAAAAGCAAGAAATAAAGAATACAATTCCATTTACATTAGCATCAAAACCAATAGAATACTTAAGGATAAATTTAACCAAGGAGGTGAAAGCTCTGTACACTGAAAACTTTAGAATTTCATGAAATTGTAGATGACAGATACATAGAAAAATATCCTGTGTTCAGGGATACCTGGGTGGCCCAGCGGTTTAGCACCTGCCTTCGGCCCAGGGCACGATCCTGGAGACCCGGGATCGAGTCCCGTGTCGGGCTCCCTGCATGGAGCCTGCTTCTCCCTCTGCCTGTGTCTCTGCCCCCCCCCCGTGTGTGTGTGTGTGTGTGTGTGTGTGACTATCATGAATAAATAAATAAAAATCTTTAAAAAAAATATCCTGTGTTCACAGATCAGAAGAACTGACATGGTTAAAATGTCCATACTACCCAAAGTCATCTATAGATTCACTGTAAACCTTATCAAAATTCCAATGACCATTTTTTACAGAAATAGAAAAGTAATTCTAAAATTCCTATGGAGCAACAAAAGACCCAGAATATCCAAAGCAATCTGAAGAAAGAACATAGCTGGACACATTGTACCTCCTGATTTAAACAATCAAAATAATATGGCACTGGCATGAAAACACACAGATAGTCCAATGGAACATAATCAAAAACTCAGAAATAAACTCGTGCATAAATGTTCAATTAGTAATTGACAAGGGAGCAAAGAATAGTCAGTGGGGAAAGGACAGTGTCTTTGATACATTGTGGTGGGAAAATTGAGAAACCACATGCAGAAGAATGAAACTGGACCCCTATCTTATAACATTCCCAAAAATTAACTCAAAAAGGATTAAAGGCTTAAACCTAAGACCTGAAGCCATAAAACTCCTTGAAGATAACACAGGAAAAAAAGTTTTTTGATAATGGTTTTGGATATAAAACAAAAAGCACAAGCAACAAAAGCAAAAAAAAAAAAAAAAAGGGACTACATTAATCTAAAAAACTTCTGCACAGCAAAAGAAACCGTAAATCAATAAGGCAAACTCTGGAATAGAAGACAGTATCTGGAAAGCATATATCTGATAAGGAGTTAATATCCAAAATATATAAAGAACTTATACAACTCAATTATAACGTGGGTAGAGAACCTGAATAAACATTTTTCCAAAGACATACAGATGGCTAACAAGTCTATGAAACAGTGCTCAACATCATTAGTCAATTAAGGAAATGCAAATCAAAGCCACAATGAGATATCACTTCACTTGTGTTAGAATGGTTATCATTAAAAAGATAAGAAATAGGGGCAGCCTGGGTGACTCAGCAGTTTAGCGCCACCTTCAGCCCAGGGCATGATCCTGGAGACCAGGGATTGGGTCCCACGTCGGGCTCCCTGCATGGAGCCTGCTTCTCCCTCTGCCTGTGTCTCTGCCTCTCTCTCTCTCTGTCTCTCATGAATAAGTAAATAAAATCTTAAAAAAGACAAGAAATATTGAGTAATGGCAAGGACGTGGAAAAAAGGAAACCCTTGTGCACTGTTGGTGGAACTATAAACCAATACTGCCGGTATGGAAATCAGTGGACATTCTTCAAAAAATTAAAAATAGAACTGCTGTATTATCCAGCAATTTCTTTTCTGGTTTTTATCCCAAAGAAATTAAAACAGGATCTCAAAGATACATCTGCTTCCCAATGTTTAATGCAACATTACTCACACTACGCCACATATAGAAAGAACCTAAATATTGATCAGTGGATAGATGGATAAAGAAGATGCCATTTTCAACAACTTGGATGAAACTTGACATTATGTCAAATAAGTCAGAAAAAGACAAATACTGTATTCTGTCAATTATATATAGAACTTAAAAAAGCCCAACTCAGAGAGTAGAATGGTTGTTATCATAAGCTGGGGGTTGAAGGAAATGGGGAGATGTTGATCAAATGGTACCAACTTTGGAGATCTAATGTATAGTATGAGCATTATAATTAATGGTATCATATCCTTGAATATTGCTAAGAGAATAAACCTTAAGTAATCTCACCACCAAATAGAAACGATAGTTATATGAAGTGTTGGAGGCTTTTGCTAAGGCTATGGTGGCATTCAAATCCCAACATGTAAGTGTATCAAATCAACATGTAAGTGTATCATTGTATACCTTAAAATTATATAATGTTACATCTCTAAATTATATCTCAAAACATTGTAATAAAGCAAATCAACAATGATCAAGATTCATTCCAGGAATAAAAAAAAAAATAACTCCACACAGGAAAATCTATTAAGGTAATTCAGAACATTAGTAGATTAAAGGAGAAAATACATATGATAATAGTATTTGGAGTTTATTTTTTTTTAAGATTTTATTTATTTATTCATGAGAGACATAGCGAGGCAGAGACATAGACAGAGGGAGAAGCCGGCTCCTCGCAGGGAGCCCTATTTGAGACTTGATCCCCAGACGCGGGATCACGACCTGAGCCGAAGGCAGAAGCTCAACCACTGAGCCACCCAGGTGCCCCAGAGTTTAGTATTTTTAAAAAATTATTTGATTATTGTCTATACCCTCTACACAACCTCTTGTTTTCTCCTTCTGGAATTTCTACTGAGTGGTTATTATTGTACAATGTCCTTCTATGATTATGAATTATTAATGTCATGAATTATTTCTTTCTTGGGGATTCAGTCTACTTCATATTATCAAATATTTTGATGTTCAGCATCTTTGTTTTCAATGCTTATACTGAGTAAGGTTTTCTTTATACTAAATCATTAGAAAGTATTCATAAAAACTAATAACTAGAGGTTTTTTCATGGCAGCATGCATTCCTGGCACTGATATCTATTTGAAATCATACCTGTGTCTCTAGAGAAGCCTAAAACACAGTCCCATAGTTACTGACAACAAGGGTAAACCTGCCAAGCAGGTAATCCACTATGCCAGTTTCCAGGGCCCCCAAGGTGTTACAGAGAAATAATAAACATTAACATTTACATGACTTAATGAGCTAAATAAAAAAAGATTCAGATAAAGTTGAATACTCCATTTATTTTAATCCCTGCCCAATCCCATTTTTCACTTCTTTCTCAGAAGCAATTATGAATGCTAGACCATGTTTCTTCTATACTTTTGTCATACACATCCATCTTCAGCAACCAGGGCTCCAAATCACCCATCTCACCCCATCCCACATAACCATACTATAAGGAAGTGGAAGTTTTCTAATGACAATATGCATGTCCTGTACTGGGGATCAAAGGCAACTACTCTCATACCTTGGAGAAAGCCAGCCTAAGGTTCAGTTTCTCTTATCACGGTTTCCCGTGGTGAGCTTATCAAAGAGGTACTCTGCCATGATGGCTTCTGGGGTCCCTTTCTTGCTATGTAGAATCAACAAACATATTAGTATCTACATATTGTAACAAACTAAGTTTTCAGGTAAAGTTGAAGACCTCCTTTACTTGAATCTCTGCCCAACCCCATTTCTGTCACTTTCCCCAGATGAACCCTAATCATAATTTTCAGGCAATATTTTTATACTTTTACTATGTACAGGGTCCCACATTTATCAGGGCCTGAGGCCACCCACCCCACACTGTCTATAAGTGTTTAATTTGAGGTAGATGGGGTTTGGTGGGTAGAGACACTCCTGAATACCTGTTGTAAAACTTAAAAGGTGAAGGGTTTGCGCAGGAATCAACCACAGACCTTTTTTAAGTTTTGAACCAAATAACTTCATTGAAACCAAACTATTTATTTATTTATTTATTTATTTATTTATTTATTTATTTATTTATTTATTTATTTATTTATGGCAGAACTGGAAGAAAAAAAACCTGAACGTTCTGCCAAGGCAATACTGCAACATGCACGCTCGGCAGGGTGCCCAGGGGAAGTCACCCTGCCCCCTGCCCCCTGGCTGGGGGAGGCGTCAGTCCCAAGTCAGTTCTCTTTGTGGCTGTCGCGCAGGGTGAGCCTGTCAAAGAGGTACTCAGTCAGGCCGGCTTCCGGGGCCCCCATGCTGCACAGGCTGGTGACATGGCCTCCCAGCTCTTCGATGGCCTTGACTCGCTCACGGAGGTAGTGGGCCTCCAGGAAGTCGCAGAGCTGGGCGTCGTTCTTGTCGGTGGCCAGCTGGTGCAGGTCGAGCAGGCTCTGGTTCACGCTCTTCTCCAGGTGCAGGGCGCACTCCATGGCCCTCAGGCCGCTCTCCCAGTCGTCGCGGTCGGGCTTCTTGACGTCGCGCAGACGGATGCGGCCCCCGCGCTGGTTCTGCAGCTCCATCAGCATCTCGGCGTGCTGGGCCTCCTCGCGGGCGTGGCGCTGGAAGAAGCGGGCGAAGTTCCTCAGGGCCACGTCGTCGCGGTCGAAGTAGAAGGCCATGGACTGGTAGACGTAGGAGGCGTACAGCTCCAGGCTGATCTGGCCGTTGATGGCGGCCTCGCAGTCGCGGTGGTAGTTCTGGCGGACCTGGGAGATCGGCGCGGTGGCCATGGCTGGCGGCCCGGGCAGCAGGGCGAGGGCGACCACGTCGCGGAAACGAGAGCCACGGAGTGGGCAACGGCAGGGCCGACTTCGGTGGTGGCCTCGGAGATTGCCCAGCGTGAGTGGTGAGGGAGGCCGGAGGCCGAATCAGTGGCGGTTGATCTGAGGGAAGTGGCCTTTGATATGGGAGACAGCTCTGAGAGGGAACCGGAAATGCCGTCCAGGGAAGGGGGCGCACTTCCGGCTCAGTGAGGGCCGCAAAGGCTGTGTTCTAGGTTCTGTTGGAGCCTGAGTGAGGCAGAGTGACCCTGTGCTGAGCACCTGGCAATAATGTGTCTACCCAAGTACTTTATTTTGTTCTCTGAGCCTATCACAGGCTGATCTTATTCAAATTCAAATTCATACTCTTATTCAAATTCAGTCTTATTCAATTCAAATTCATATTCTTAAAATTCTGAGTATAAATTCAAGTTTTTTGAAGTTTTCTCCTGTTTCCTGTAGTTTTTTTTTTTAACTTCAGATATTGTTCCATTTTTTGATCATGACCTTCTTTTTCACTTTCCACAATTATTTTACAAACCTTTGTCCATTCATATTTAGGAAAAAAAGGCACATTTGATTAGCCTAGGTAATTAGCATGTATGCAATCCACAGTTATGATGTCCATTTCACTAACAGGCTTTTCCTTGGAACAGGAAGGCACAGTATGTCAATAAGGGAGTTGTCTCCTCCTTGGGGATACATGGCAGGATACTTGCAGGTAAGATAGGGACCCTCCCTCTTGCCAAAACAAAGATGGGAATTCTGATGATGGAAGAGCAGTGTTTTCCCCTTCTTTCTAGATAGTTGTGCCTCAGTTGTTTCCCTTCTGCTATGTTGGTCTGCGTTTGTCTCAAGCTCACTCAATGTCTTTGTTGTGTAGTTTTGGGAGCTGAAAGGTCAAATACTATAACTGCTTACTTACAATATAAATATGGTTTGGGGACTCTCAGAGCAGGGCAGATAAAACATCTGTTCAGAGTAGCTCTTTAATCTCATGGTTGACCTGGGACCGGCTGCAGTAAAACTGTTCTTGAGATTTCTCTGCATGTGCTTGGTTTTCCATGCAGATGTTTTGACTTACCCGAATTAACTAATCTGGTAACATCTTGCTTTACCTATCTTCCAAGAATTCCTCATCATTTCTGGTCTACTACTGAGAATCCTTGTGTGTGTGTGTGTGTGTGTGTGTGTGTGTGTGTGTGTGTGTGTAGGTTTTGTGTATGTTTTTAGCCACAACTATAATTCAGTTATTGTTTATTTCTAAACTTAAAATAATTTTCTGAATAGGTAATACATTCTCAGGGGTCAAAGCCACACAGCTCTCTTCTCTGCAGGTGACCAGTGTGGTATTACTTGTTACAATTAGGAGGAAAAAGAAGAGAAAAAGGAAGAAATAATATTCAAAACAGAAGAAACTCGAAATACATTTTTAGGAGCACCTTTTTTGTGTATTTTTTTTATTCGAGTTCTATTTGCCAACATGTAGCATATCACCCAGTGCTCATCCCGTCAAGTGCCCCCCTCAGTGCCCGTCACCCAGTCACCCCATCCCCCCCATCCACCTCCCCTTCCACTACCCCTTGTTTGTTTCTCAGAGTTAGGTGTCTCTCATGTTCTGACCCCCTCTCTGATATTTCCCACTCATTTTCTCTCCTTTCCCCTTTATTCCCTTTCACTAAGACCATATAATGTTTGTCCTTCTCTGATTGACTTACTTAACTCAGCATAATACCCTCCAGTTCCATCCATATTGAAGCAAATGGTGAGTATTTGTCGTTTCTAATGGCTGAGTAATATGCCATTGTATACATAGACCACATCTTCTTTATTCATTCATCTTTCAATGGACACTGAGGCTCCTTCCAGTTTGGCTATTGTGGACGTTGCTGCTATAAACATCGGGATGTAGGGTGTCCTGGCATTTCAGTGCATCTGTATCTTTGGGGTGAATCCCCAGGAGTGGAACTGCTGGGTCAGAGGATAGCTCTATTTTTAACTCTTTGAGGAACCTCCACACAGTTTTCTAGAGTGGCTGCACCAGTTCACATTCCCACCAACAGTGCAAGAGGGTCCCCCTTTCTCCACATCCTCTCCAACATTTGTTGTTTCCTCTCTTGTTAATTTTCCCCATTCTCACTGGTGTGAGGTGGTATCTCATTGTGGTTTTGATTTGTATTTCCCTGATGGCAAGGGATGCGGAGCATTTTCTCATGTGCTTGTTGGCCATGTCTATGTCTTCTTTGGTGAAATTTCTGTTCATGTCTTTTGCCCATTTCATGATTGGATTGTTTGTTTCTTTGGTGTTGAGTTTAATAAGTTCTTTATAGATCTTGGACACTAGTCCTTTACCTGATATGTCACTTGCAAATATCTTCTCCCATTCTGTAGGTTGTCTTTGAGTTTTGTTGGCTATTTCTTTTGCTGTTCAGATGCTTTTTATCTTGATGAAGTCCCAATAGTTCATTTTTGCTTGTTTCCCTTGCCTTCATCGATGTATCTTGCAAGAAGTTGCTGTGGCCAAGTTAAAAAAGGGTGTTGTTGCCTGTGTTCTCCTCTAGGATATTGATGGAAAAAAAAAAAAAGGATTTTTATGGATTCTTGTCTCACATTTAGATCTTTCATCCATTTTGAGTTTATCTTTGTGTATGGTGCAAGAGAGTGGTCTAGTTTTATTCTTCTGCATGTGGCTGTCCAATTTTCCCAGCACCATTTATTGAAGAGACTGTCTTTCTTCCAGTGGATAGTCTTTCCTCCTTTATCGAATATCAGTTGACCATAGAGTTGAGGGCCCATTTCTGGGTTCTCTATTCTGTTCCATTGATCTGTTTCTGTTTTTGTGCCAGTACCACACTGTCTTCATGATCACAGCTTTGTAGTACAACTTGAAATTCGGCATTGTGATGCCCCTGGCTCTGGTTTTCTTTTCCAATATTCCCCTGGCTATTCAGGGTCTTTTCTGATTCCACACAAATCTTAAGATGATTTGTTACAACTCTCTGAAGAAAGTCCATGGTGTTTTGACAGGGATTGCATTAAATGTGTAAATTGCCCTGGGTAGCATTGACATTTTCACAATATTAATTCTGCCAATCCATGAGCATGGAATATTTTTCCATCTCTTTGTGTCTTCCTCAATTTCTTTCAGAAGTGTTCTGTAGTTTTAGTTTTTAGGGTATAGATTCTTTACCTCTTTGGTTAGTTTTATTCCTAGGTATCTTATGCTTTTGGGTGCAATTGTTAATGGGATTGACTACTTAATTTCTCTTTAGAAGCACCTTCTTCTCAAATACACATGGATTATTTGCCAAGAAAATTCGTATTCTGGGCCATACTAAGTCTGAATACATTTCAAATGATTCAAATCATACAAGATTATAAAAGAAACATCTTAAATAAATCTACCTTAATAACTAGAAAAAGAAGAATGATATATACACAAACCAGACAGAAGGCAGGAAATGATAATGGAGCAAAAAATTCAGTGGAACAGAAAACAAAAATATGTAGACTAAGTAAAACTAAATGGATTGAAATTAAAAAAAGATAAATGTCTAAAAGACTGATCAGGAAAAAAGAGAGGAGACATAAATTAGCAATATCAAGAATGAGAGAAGAGATTACAGGTCATAAAAAAGGAATAATACTGCTATGCCTGGCTTAGGCTAATTATGATTCATCTAGATATGTTATTACTCTCCTAAATTGGGGTTCTTTTAGTAAGGAAGAAGGGGGTGAAGTAGTTTTTAGATCAGTAATCAACAGTTTCTGTCTCATTTCTATTCATTAGTAACTTACAATCCATTAATTCAGGCAATTACTTTCTCTCCTATCCACGAATGTTGATGGGAGGGCAGTCCATAATCAACCTGCACAGGATTCCTAGGATAATAGAAGTGAATAATACAGGAGCTGGTAGAGAGGCAAAAAGAATGGTGTATACTGGAATAAAATAGCTTTTTTATGATAAATTGAAGAGATATTAAAATCCCTAGTAGATAATTATTTATCTCCGTTTTGTCTAGAGTTTGCCCTAAGTTTTAATATTTTAAAATAGAAAACAATAGGGGTGCCTGGGTGACTTGGTTGGTTAAGCGTCCGACTCTTAATTTCACCTCTGGTTATAATCTCAGGGTTGTAAGATTGAGCCCCACATCAGGGGCTACCTCTGTCCTTCTGCCCCCACCCCTCAACTGCTTATGTGCTTATGCTCTCTAAAATACATAAATAAATCTTTAAAATGGAAAACAACAAAGTAGAATTTTTTTATTTTTTTATTTTTTTTAGATTTGAGAAAGGGTGGGCACAAGGAGAAGGAGAGAGAGACTCTCAAGCAGACTCTACACAGAGCATGAAGCCTCATGTGGGGCTTGATCCCAGGACCCCGAGATCATGACGTGAGCTGAAATCGAATCGGATACCAACCAATAGAGCCACCCAGGCACCCCTGGAATGGAACAGTTTGAATGAAAAGCTAATATAAATTCTAAGTTAATGGGGAATTATTATTTTTACTAATTTATCTCATTTTAGTTATTAGTATGCACCTGAATCTTTATAACAATGTATTTCAAAGTAATAAAAATGAATCTCTGTAGAACTGAAAATTTTCATTAACTTTATAAATAGAAATAATTCTTTATCATCTCTTCTACATCTTCAGACATTACTCTGGAATTATAATGAAACCTCATCAGTTTATTTAGCTTAAAGACAGCTCCTTTTAAAATTATCTTACTATCAAACAAAACAAATTCAGAATTATCTAAAAGTTCAGGTTGCCACTTCTCAGATAATAACAGGAAATCTCAGCCTACCTCTATATTCATTCCTAACTGGCCCTATTATATTGCAAGTTTTATTAGGTTTACTCCTCTTCAAGACATCCTGCTTTGTGCTCCAAGTGTATCAGCTACATGGTACAATGCTTATGAGTAGGAGGTTAGTAATCAAAAGCCACAAGTCCCAATTACAGTCAGAAGTCACATGTATCATTAGTCTTTTTGGCATTCACAATATTGGTCCAGAGATGGAAAGAATATTACCTAATTTGCCTGTTCCAAATGGTATTGTTCTCAAGCCTTTTAAAATGCAAAATTAAAAATCCAGCTAAGTACCAGCCACCAATTTTTCCATTTCAGTCATATCTGAACTTGAATAAGTATATTGTGATGTGTCTTAATGGCCTAATAGGAATCAGGATAAGAAACCTAGAGGTAATTTGTTTCTTGGTAAAACCCCTGGTAAATTATCACCAATCAAATCAGGAGGGAACTGTGTTCAATGCAAAGTGAGGGAAGGGGAGAGAGGAAGACACTGAATTAGGAGACCTGGATCCTATTTTGGGCTGTACCAATCAGTATCCTGTTATGGAAAAAGGAGTAAATGGACCTCTGTAAGGCTATTATTTGAAAAATGAAGAGTTTGACCGATTTGGTTTTCATAGACCCTATCAATTATAAATATTATTGGAACCTATTCCATGAAATCTTTCTTTAGCCATGGAATGGAAGGAAAAATCAGCCTTTAGTCTATTCATGACAAGCAGTGACTAGTATCACATATTATCTTTGGGAATGGAAAATACCTTAACATTCAAATAATAATGCTGTTTTACATTATGGCATTAGTGCAAGTCTTTAAAGCATACACTTGAAGAAAAGGCAGAGCCCTC